TCAAAAATATGGCTGTGGGGTCTCTATTCATCATCGCCACTGTTTGCAGAGGTTTGTCGAGTCCCTAGTTTTTCACAAGAATAAACACAATCGTTTACAACAACATGAACGAAAAGGTCAAATGACAATGACATTTCTAATGAAGGTAGATTCGGTATTTGTTTCATTTTCACTGTCATAATCTCAGTTTTATAAGACCAGCAGAGCCATCAGCGGTCACGAGTGAACTAAAAAAGCTGGCTCAAAGCGGTAATATGAGTGCGCTGACCACGCTAATGACATTTATTATTGTCAGGTTGTCATATGAATCATTAAGTTTAATGTCGTATTTCCTAGAATTTTACAATTATTTAAATAGTGTTTGGTGAATTTTTGTTAATTGTTGAGCAATTTAGATTAAAACAATATCAAGTTCAACAGATTTCGCTGAAGAATTCGTTCGGAAATATATTCAGAGAAGAAAAATACAAAACAACCTAAGTAAGACCACAGTATGCGACGGTCCTGCCTAGGGCGGAGTATAATCCTTTTCTAGCCAATAAAATTCGACTAACCTGTCAAAGTTTGTTTACTTTCACTATCTCGTTTCGTGAAATGAACTTTAGATTTGATTTAGAAATGACAGTTTGAGAATTCAAGCCCTAGAAAACCAGAAAAATTAAAGGGTAAGACTGAGATAAAACATTTTAAAAATGGATGCATTCTTCAGACCCTTTGAACCGCTAAGTTTTGAAGGGAATTTAGCAGATAACTAACGAATATTTGAACAAAAACCTAAGAATTTTTTTGCTTCGTGGTCTGACAGCAGCAGATTTAGCGAAGGAAAATTATTGCAATGTTGTTGAAATTTAGTAGCAGATGAATGAACTGGAATTGTTTAATTCATTTAATGCCTTGCCAGCTAATCAGAAAATTCTAGACGTTGTAACTAGGCGATTCAAAGATCAGGTATTTATAGAAAATGTGAATGTAGACTTTAAACTGGACACTGGTGCTGAAATATTAATTATACCATTGCATATTTTGAAATCGATTGACCCAATGATTGACATTGATAAATCAGACATTTCATTGATATCATATGGTAGTTCAAAATTTCAAATTGAAACAGCAGGTGAAGTAATATTGATGTGTGAAGTAGGTGATGTTTCTAAAAAAAATTTGTTATAGTTAAAGCTAAAGGTCAAGTACCATTGTTAGGTCTTCAGGAATGTAAGTATTAGGTTAAATTTAATTGAAAGGGTAGGTAGGTCAAATTAAAATCAAAAATTCAGAACATGTGGAATTTTGAAGGCATGATTGAAAACTTCTAAGCAATGTTTCAAGGGTTAGGAAGATTTCCATCAGTTCATCACATTACATTGAAAAATGATGCTGCACCAAAAATTATTCCTATACGTACAATACCATCTTATATGATCGATAAGGTAGAAGACCTCGAAGCAAAAGGCATTAGTGATCGTGGAGAAACCTAACGGTGACCTTCGATTATGTCTTGATCCCAAGCATTTAAATGATCCGATAAAAAGGGAGTACTTTTTGATACCATTTGTAGATGAATATAGTTCAAAATTATGTGGCAAACGGTATTTTACCGTTTTAGATATGCTTGATGGATATTGGCAAATAGAATTAGATTCAGAGTGCTGATTTGTGTAGTTTTGGTACACCATTTGGCCGATATAAGTTCTTAAGAATACCTTTTGGAATCTCATCTGCTCCAGAAGTCTTCCAGATAAAAAATTATGAATTGTTCGGAAATATAGAGGGCGTTGAACTTTATTTCAATGATTTAATAGTGACAGGTGCTACAGAACAAGAACATGATCAGAATTTAAAATTCGTTTTACAGAGAGCATTGGACTACAACGTTAAATTTAATTTAACGTTGTAGTCCAACGTTAAATTTAATCAATCAAATATTCAATTTGAATGAAAATCAGTTAAATTTTTGGGACAGATTTTTTCGGAAAAAGGCATTAGTGTAAATCAAAACTACATAAAAGCTATTCTAAACATGAAAGAGCTTAAGAATATACAAGAGTAGTTAAGATTTTTGGGCATGGTTAAATTAGTAGGGAAATTTATACAAAATGTATCTAAAGTTACTTAGAAATCTGACAAGAAATGATGTTTATTGGCATTGGAATGAAGATCACAAATCTGCAGTAAAACAGTTGAAATTCTTATACCCGTAATATGAATGAAGGGTGGCCTAAAAAAATTCATAGAATTCCTGATAGTGTTAAAATTTATGCAAAATTAAAAGAAATAATTGTTTTTGTTGAGGGCTTGTTGCTCTTGGAAAATAAAATTATAATTCCAACAGTTTTAAGATAAGATGCGCTTAATTTTTTACATGAAGGCCACTTGGGCATTGAAAAAACTAAAGCTAGAGCTAGAAAGATCTTTTATTGGCCGGAGCAAACATCAGATATAGAATCCTTTATTAAATGTTGCAAAATATGTGAAAAATTTTCTAGAAAACAGACAAAAGAAACACTCGTACAATATCCATTACCAACTAGAGGTTGGGAGATTGTGGGTAAAGATATTTTTACCCACGGTAATTAGTCTTATTCAACTATGTATGATGCTTTCTCTAACTGGTTAAAATTGCTCCCTATCAAAGGCAAAAGTGCTGATTCCGTGATATCTCATATGGAAAGTGTATTTGCTCGATTTGGTCCACCAGATATTCTTATAGCTGATAATTTTCAAGAGAATGGAACTTTAATCTTGCATTTCGGAGTCCCAACTACCCCAAATTAAATGGGTCAGCAGAAAAATCTGTTAGTATTGAAAAAAAATATAGTAAAAAAATCCTTGGAGGAAAGAAAGGATATAAATTCAACTTTGTCTAATTATAGAAACAGTCCAATTAAGCATCGATTTGACACCATCTCAAATGCCGAATAGTAAAAAATGCAAGTTGAAAGTTCAAGTAGAAAGAAGTTTGTTATAGCTGCAGTTGTGTCAAGGGGTTGTTGAAAAATTAATATGTAAACGTGATAAAGCTAAATGTTATTATGACAAAAACGCAAAAGATTTGTGAACTTTATGAACCAATCAGAATGTAAACATGTATAATCATGTGGATAAAACATGGAACTCAGGAAAAATCCTTTTAATAATTATGATGCGCCTAGATCATATAATGTGTAGATAAGATGAAAGTAGCAATGTTATTAGAAGAAAAAGAATTGATCTAAAACTCTCCAACAATCAGTACCTTGTTCAAAAGTTAAGCTCAACACGATGTTGACAGAGTGAATATTGAAAATGTTTCTTCTGGTAATCAATCGTCAGATATGGGTGATTCTCTGATTGCAAGTACAATGGTGCTACCATGTCAAAACAAGTGAGTCATGGGGCTATAAGGTTAGATCTTTGAGGGAAAATATGTTTAATATTTTAGTAGGCTTAAATTAGTTATAGGGAGTTCTGACTACACATAGACAAAAACAACTGTCTAATTCGTGTGTAGTTATAGACTAGAATAAAGATTGTCCAATTTGCTTGTGCAGTTTTATGCAGTAAATTATAACAATTATAAAAAGTACACTTCAAATACTCTGGATATTATTTATCCAGGCAAAATAAAACAAATAAGGCTTAACTACTGGAAACTACAACTACAGCGGAATATATTTACTTTCTGTTGCGAAATAGATACTTGTCAGTATATTATCCAATCGTCTAATCCAAACTGCCGAAGAGAACCTTCCAGAGACCCAGTGTGGCTTGAAATCCAACTAAGGTAAAACTGACATGAGCTTCAGTGAAAGGCAAATGCAGGAGAGATCTAGGGAACAAAATCGCCCTCTATACATGGCCTTCATAGATTTAGTGAAAGCATTTGCTCCGGTCAACAGAGCAGCTCTTTAGAAGATATTGGCAAAGATTGCATTTCTGTGAAAGTACATCCAGATATTTCGCCAGCTGCATGATAATATGTATGCAACAGTCCTAAGCAGCGATGGACAAGGAGAGTCTTTCCAAATAAATACAGGCGGAAAACAAGGCTATGCTATTGCATCCACTTTATTTTCTCTATTTATAGGATCCATACTTCACCTTGTCGGGAGTCACCTGTCGTCAGGAGTGGAAATCCTTTACAGACTTGTGGCTTATTCAACCTAAACGGATTACGAGCCAGAACAAAAGTATCGATGACATCGATAATTGTCCTTCACTATGCGGATGATAACGTCGTAATAGCCAATACAGAAGAAAATCTTCAGGCCATTATCAATGCATTCAACCAGGCATACAGGAGAATTAGCCTAGAGGTCAACTTCAACAAGACGCAGATTCTGCACCCAAACCGCAACGGGCACTTATCCCCAAGCCCCAAATATAACTATAAATGACCATTCTTTCCAGAACGTAGAACACTATCCAAACCTTGGGAGCCATCTGTCAGCGGAGGCAGCCATTGACGCTCAAATCAAACAGCTGCCAAACATAGACCACCCACCACCTACAGAAGACACATAAGAATCCTAAAAAAATACCACCAGCGATGCCTAAGAGGGATCCTACGGATTAAATGGCAATACCGACGAACGCACATTAGTGCCAAAATAACTAGGATGAAAGCCCTTATCACTTAGCACCAACTTTGCTGGACAGGGTCACCTCGTCCGTTATGTCCGAAACATGTCTTCCACGACAGATTCTCTATAGTCAACTGAAAGAGGGAAAACGAAATCAAGGTCAACAGAAACGCTACGAAGATGCTCTTGAGAAGAATATGGCATCGATACCAATAACTGGGAGGCGATGAGGCCCTTATGGAGTCGAGCAGTCGATGACGAGAAGCATAATTTCTAATATTTTGATATCATCGATTTCATAATCATCATAACTATCATCTGATAATCTGTATCTAAGAAAAGTATGAATGTTTGTATTTCTGTTGCATTTAGTATCTTTTTCAATAAGGATTTCCTCATGTAAAAAATCCTTTACTACTCTGTATTTTGTGTCTTGTTTACTACGTTTTTTCAACAATACATCAGAAAGAAAATTTGCAATAAAATATTCAGCATAAGTATGGTGAATAAAATTAAAACTGCTAATATCATTATCCACATATCTCATAAAACCGACCCTTTGTAACTCCTGTTTTTCGAAACTTTCTAATTTTTTATCTTCAAAAGTTATTACTTCTTCACTATTTAAAAGCCTTCGTCCCCATTCTGGAAACAAAATACTAACAGCTAACCTCCTGTGCGCTTTTTCTAGTTGAATTATGGCTAATCTTTTTAGATAGTCGAAATTAATGACGCCTGATTGGTCCAGTTTAATTTTCTCCTCAAAATAAATATCATATTTTTTTTCGGCAAATTTTTGATACAGTTGGAACAAGTTCAGTTTGCCTTCTGACAAATAAATCTCAGCCAACATTTTCAAATGTAAAATATTACTAGCAAAACTCTCACCGATATCTTTAGTTTTGTTGAGTATTTCTTTGGATAAATTTTCAATGCGAGTAGCTTTTAAATCAGGTGAAAGTTTTTCAAAGTATTTCATCAAAAAGTCTTTCTGTTGATTGGGAGTCAATGGCTCTAGCCTATAGCAGACAAAATTGTTTTTTAAGCTTTTTTCTATACTACTACATTCCCTTGTAGTTATCCATGTGTTTTGTGTTAAATTTAATAGCTGGATCACTCTATCTTTATATTTAGGTAAAATTTCATCTAGCCCGTCGAGAAACAGGACGACCCGATCTTTTTGAATGCAGTATTCTAATATTTTTTTTTTGAAATTAGTTGGCTTCAAATTTTCAACTTCATTCAGGAAACTGAGACCATTTTTCAGTTCAGAAGATTCAAGCTGTTTTCTATAACTTGTCAATTTTACGAAAATAATCCACTTACTTCCATTATTGTCTTTCATTTCCTTTGCTAATCTCACCAGTTTGGTGGATTTTCCCATACCCGGCTCATCCATTATTATTTTCATGTTGCAATAATTTCCAAGTGGTGGAGTTTGAAGTGAACGTAGCATTTCAACATAATGAGGATTATATTATGAAGAATCACAATCATTTAAATCCGGTAATTTTGTTCCTATCTCTATTTCCTCATTATTAATTAGCTGAACTAATAAATCTTCATCTATAGCTTCGTATAATAGGTTACTTTTTTGTTCTGAAAGGTTATTTATGCCAAGAAACCTCTTTAACTTTATCTTGTTTCCTTGAAAAATAATCTCTTTGTCTAATAGCTTGTTTTGTGATTCAAGTTCAAATTCATTGAGCTGAGTTTTCATAAGTTCAGTTTGATTATCGATAGGAAGTATTTCCTCCAATACTTGATTCACTTTTTCATTGAGTATAAATATAATTTTTTTATTTTTCCTATTGAGTCCAGCAAGAACTTCCTTGTAGAGATTGGTTATCAATTCCTGCCCATTTTTATCTATAAAACTACATTCAATCATCAATATACGCTTGTTTTCTGACTTAAAGGCACTTACAACTCTTCCTGGATTTGAAGTATCAGAGTTTAACAAATATAAAGAATTTAAATCTGAAACCGTATATTCGTAAATATATTTATAGTATAATTTTAAAGCTTGATATACTTTTGCAATAGATAAAAAGGCACTTTCTTGTTTGTGAACAACTTTCAAGATTTTATTAGTAGGTTGTGATTCAAGAAACTCTTTTATAGACTTAATATTCATATTTTCAGCCTCAAATCTAAGATCACTACTTTTAAATATTTCAATTTCCCAATTATATAAAGAAGCTAATCCATTCAATTCTAGGTCAGCAATTTTATATTTCAAACCATCAAAAAAATGTTTAATCTCTGAACTAAGAAGATAACGTGCTGTGTCATTTTCATATCTTTGACTGAACCATTCACTTATGTGCTGGAAATAACATCCATAACTAATAAAGTTGAATGCGTCACTACCCATTTTGTTTTTAATTTTATTCCCTAATGCTATTGAACCTGGCTGTTCAACCGCAAACACAAATTTACTCAGAAGTTGTTTTATTTTATTTTTATCGTCTGATGAAACATCGCTACCGAATAATTTTTTAATAAAACCATTTTTATCATTTTCGTTTTCAGAAGTGAATTTGTATAGCTTTCCACCTAAATCTGCAAAGATTTTGTATTTATTTTCTATTTCTTCTTTACTTATTTTTCCAAAATGGAACTCTTTTGGATCAAAATTGATTTTACTGTTAGTGCAAAGAATAAGGCTATCTACTTCAGAAGGTTCTTGTCTCAAATAAGTGGTAAAGTATTTTTTTAGTTCACATATAATATGTGTTTGTGTTAACTTTTTTCTTTTTCCTGAAATAGTTTTGCCTAAATGTTGCTCATGCTTAGCTTGTAAGTATATGTACCTAATATTCTCATTAGAATCCTTGTAACGAAAAACCAAGTCATCAAACTTATTACCTGCTACCTCAGTACCTAAGCGAAATTTCACATCATCATTGTTGCCTTGCAATGAAAAATGCATTAACCATTTCAGTTGATAATCGCCGCCATGGCGGTTCCTTTTTAATTGTGAAGCTTTATGCACTAGCAAATTGATTATTTTTTTTTTATTTCTTTTTTCAACATATAAAACTAATCTTTCAAATTTTTCACTATCAACGCTAACGAGGCCATCTAACTGGCTATTTGTTTCTCCTAGAGATAGCAGTAGCACAGCAATATCGAAACGTTCATTTTCAATAGCTAAGCTCAAAGCAGTTTCATGTTGTTTATTATACTGATTAACTATTGTCATGTAATTCGGTTTTTGCTCCAGTTGTTCTAGTAAGTGTTCAAAGTCAATACCTGATGATGAAGCAGCTTCTCGATGTAGAAACGTGTTGCCTTGATCGTCTGTAATATGGAAATCAATTTCATCAGAATTATCTGTAGAAAATTGCTGACTACCTTGCTCGGCATGATGAGGGGCTGGGTGATTGATGCTGACTTGACGAGAAGGTCCTGGCTGCTGGCCACCAGAGGTCTCCATATCCATGATCTTACCTCCCCATAAAGAAAATTTCTTTTTTATTTCAGTTCATCTCATAATTTTTCATGTGTAATATATCAAAATGTCCATACAAATATTATAGTTACTTCAATTATCATATTATAGGGTGACTCAGAGTAAATGTCCCTTTTTCCTGTACATTCAGATAAATATTGGTGAGAGGGTTAGCGCTGGCAATTTGCGGCGACAGCGTACAGGTTATCAGTAAACATGGGACAGGTGGTCGAACGAGCAACGCGCGTTCCGAACGATTCCTATGTCAATGTGATGCTCCGTCAAAAAACTTATTAATATCGTAGGTTCAAAGATTTAAACAAAGTGGTACAGTGGTAAATCAGAAGCGTCCCGACCAACAGAAGTCCATCAGAACGCCAGAGAACATCCAGAATGTGCGACTTGCTGCAACTGAAAGTCCGAGGCGCTCAATTCGAAAACATTTATGCCTGGTTTATACTTCTGAATTAAGAATTAAACTAAATTGAGAATTAAACTAAATTAAAAATTAAACGTCCATAATTTGATGCTGTCGTTTATACCTCAAATTAAAAAATTAAATTAAATTAAATACAAATTAAGGAGATCGATCTATTTAGCTGGTTTTTCTTTATTTCAATGTTCCTTTCTGTCATGTATGATTGCATAATAAAAGAGCTAGCTAATTTCAGAAAACCAATAATTCTTAATTTTAGGTATAAACTGCATTTTTAAAGTTTAGTTTAATTTAATTTTCAATTTATTTCTTAGTTTAGTTTAATTCTTATTTTTCGAAGTATAAACCAGTCATTACCAAGGGCTGGAATTTTATAACGAATACAGATATTTTCGCTCTCTTCTTTCTAGAGAAGAAGACAGCAAGTGCCATAGCGATAGGGATAACGATCTTTATCCGTTACAGAATCCCGCCTCGGGACCAATTTGCCAGCGCTAACGCCCCCACAAATAATAAGCTGGATGTATACAGGGCGTGTTCGAAAAGAAAAATTGACTCTGTGTCACCCTGTAAATATAATTTCATTAATAGATTTGATAAAAGCTATTATATTCAGCCTCGTCTCATAAATAAATCCATGTAGTACCTCTATCTTCAGCTAGATGTCACGAATTTTAAAATGTCACTAAAAATTTAAAAAATTTCCCCATCCTAGATGCCTATTCTCTCTCTCTATGGTACCCGTCAGTCTTTGTTTTTGTGCTAGATCGTTCACGTCGAGTCATACCGCTTTCAAAGATTTTTATTGAAAAAAGTGAATATTATGCTTAATTCCGTGCCTAATCGTTCGCGAAAAAGGAAGAGGAGTCGTAGTGACTCGAATCAGACGTCTAAAATGTATAAATTGTTAGGAAAAATAGACAAGAGACTTGATAATATTGAAAAAAGACAGCTAAGTTTGGAACAAAGGTGGGCCTCGCGTCATCTTCGCAGTTCAGCAAGGCGTCAGGCCCTAATCGGTCTCCTCCATCATCGGCGTAGTCCTCCGATTCAGCTGCAAGCAGTGAGACGGATGATCGGATTAGGTACTTGGTATCTAATGAATCTTCCTCTGAAGAAGATTGTGGCCGTGAAGGGGCAAAAGAAATAGTCGAAATTGCACAGGTACATGCTGAAAAGAGTGGCGGTTCCTTGGACAGGACCGAAAGCAGGCTAGGTAAGAAAAATCTGGGGATGATTTTATAACCAATTTGAATAATAATTCTATGTTTGAATGTTTTGAATCGATCAGGGCTATCGAAGTAAACAAACTTTTTGTTTTACGAAATAATGGAAACTGTAGAATTTCTAACAATAACCTAGGGAAGGTTACTTGTAAGAGTCTTTTTCTGTTTGGGATAACAGAAAATACAATCAGTTGCAAGAGTAGCTTAGGGAAAGTTACTTGCAATGGAACACATTAACAAGAAAAATGTGTGATTTTAAACAATAACCTAGGGAAGGTTACTTGTAAAAATCATTTTCTGTATGAGATAACAGAAATTACAATCAGTTGCAAGTTGCAAGAGTAACTTAGGGAAAGTTACTTTTAATAGGACACATTAACAAGAAAAATGGGTGATTTTGAACAATAACCTAGGGAAGGTTACTTGTAAAAAATCATTTTTTCTGTTTAGGATAACAGAAGATGCAATTTCTCTGTAATAGTAGCTTAGGGAAAGTTACTTTTGATAGGATACTTTTTCTGTTAGGGATAACAGAAAATAGATACCTATTGTTTGCCCAGCGGTTCTGAGTCTACGGAAGGAATTTGGACGTAAGTGTGCGATGTTGTCACGTTTTTTTAATAACAAAATATAGATAACAATAATAAAACGCTAAATATTTTAACGTTGTTGTTCGATCTATTCCTATTTTAATTTCTGATTTCTTCAATTTCGTCTATTGGCCTGGATGAACCTGATTGGTGAAGTTTTTGGCAGGATTGCCGTTGCCACGGAGAACCATGCGGTTATCAATGTGCTCTCGCTACACAGACTCGCTGGGCAGACATTACATCCTAACGATAGTAATGATACTATGTCAAGTGTTAAATTATATACATATTTGTTGTGATGACAAGTTTACTTTGTTTGCCTGAGTATATAGGTACTCATATATTTTATTTTAGTCTCCCTTTCAGACCAAGTAGGTATAGGGTGAAAAGGAACAGGGCACTGCTTCACAGGCTGAGGTTGATAGGAGCAATCCGAAGCTACAAGAAATTTTGAAAATTATTGGAGTGGACATAATCCCTCAAACCCCTTTTGCAAATCCCATTAAAGAAGAAGTAGCATCACAATGGTCCAATATATTAGCCTCTGGGCTCAAGGAAGAGACACGAGACGAGTTGATAAACAAGTACCTAACTCCGGAAAACTGTAAGGCTATTAATCCTCCTGGTGTAAACCCTGAAGTGAAGGTAGTAGTTCTTGAATCCACTCTTCGTAGAGACTCCCGGCTAGTTTCACTACAGAAACAATTTGGGGCATGTATGTCGGCTATTGGGTTGACTATAACTCAAATGATTAACGAGGAAAAATGGGAGAATAAGACTCATTTACAACTTCTCATTGATGTGGGTCACTTGTTAGCAAATGTCCATCATTCCGAATCGGTTTCCAGAAAAGAGCTGATTTCTATAAACCTGAATAGGGATCTTAAGGATACCTTGTCTAATACACCAATTAATGCATTTTTATTTGGGGCTGATCTGGACAGCACAATCAAGGCCGCTAAGGAGTTGGAAAAATCGGGACACCAATTAAAGATTATTAAAAAGCCCTTTACTGCGAAAGCATCCTCGTCATATAAACAAAAAAACCAGGAAAACTTCAAGAGCCGCTTTTCCCAAAAATACGGAGCCAAGAGAAGCGGATATTCCAGTCGGGCTCCTGTGACCAACAGTCAGAGGCAAACTGCTCAATACCAGAAGAGAAGACAAGAGAGGAAGGAGAAGGGACATCGTCGCAGATATTAGAAGACCAGGTCGGTAAATACTGTGGTAGATTGCGGCTATTTGTAAATAAATGACAGGATCTATCCGTTCATCCAAAAATTTTGTCCTATATTAAGGGTCTCTCTATACCGTTTATCAGAAAACCCATTCAAGGAGTTGTGCCCAAAGAAAATAAATGATCAGAAAAGGAAATTTTTAATATATCAAACTTAATGTATAAATTATTGCAAACAGGGGCAATATCTAAAGTCAATCATAGCGTGGACCAATACATTTCAAACATTTTTACAGTCCCAAAACCAGATGGATCCCATCGCTTGATATTGAACCTAAAGAAACTAAATAACTTTGTAAAAAACAACCATTTTAAGATTGAGGACAACAAAGTTGTAGCAAAACTTATTTCCAGGAATTGTTTCATGGGTAACATTGATTTGAAGGATGCTTATCACCTGATACCCATTAAACAGTCTCACCGTAGTTATCTGCGATTTCTGTTTAATGGTGCATTATACCAATATAATTGTCTACCCTTTGGGTTGAATTGTGCACCCTTAATATTTACCAAAGTGTTGAAACCCGTTGTAAAACTTTTAAGGGAAAAAAAAATATAGGAAAATCCTATGAGGAATGTGAATCCAATATAAAGACGGCAATAAGCGTATTAACTCGTCTAGGTTTTATAATTAATTATTCAAAATGTTCTCTTATTCCAAATCAAGAATGTGCCTTTTTAGGTTTCATCTATAATTCAAAATTAATGACCATATTCTTACCTACAGATAGGAAAAATAGGATGCTTAAAAAACTTAATACATTTTCAAATTTTTTGTTAAAAATTAAGCAGTGCAAAATTAGAGATTTTGCAAAATTTTTAGGAGTCCTTGTATCTGCCTGTCCTGCCATTAAATATGGTTTTCTATATACTAAAGTAGCCGAGCGTCAAAAATATTTAGCATTACAAAATTCCAACGGAAATTATAATGCAAATATGAAATTATCAGATCAGTTAAAAGACGACTTTGATTGGTTTATTGAGAAAATACCGAGTTCGTTTAATGATATACGAGTTAGCAGCTACTAACTGGAAATCTTTACAGATGCATCCAATTCAGGTTGGGGAGTCTTCTATGTAATGGTAAAAGCAGTTTTGGTTACTAGTCGGTATAAGAACAAACCTTTCATATCAACTATTTGCAACTTTTGGCCTCATTTTTTGGATTAAAATGTTTTGTATCGGAATTATCCAATTGCAATATATTATGTCGTATAGATAACACCACCGTTGTAGCAACCATTAATAGAATGGGTAGCGTTAGATTTACCAACTTGAATAAAATAGCTCGAAAAGTTTGGTATTGGTGTGAGCAAAGAAACTTATCTGTATTTGCTAGCTACATTAATACAAAAGATAATATAAAGGCAGATAGGGCTTCGAGAAAAATCCACAAAGAAACTGAGTGAAGTTTGGCCAAAGATTCTTTCCAAAAAATTATTGAATTCTTTGTCAGACCATCTATAGATCTATTTGCGAGTAGACTTAACAAAAAATGTGAT